TCTCCTTCTCCTTCTCCTTCTCCTTCTCCTTCTCCTTCTCCTTCTCCTTCTCCTTCTTCTTCTTCTTCTTCTTCTTCTTCTTCTTCTCTTCTTCTTCTTCTTCCTCAAGACAATACAATGATCTTGACATATCATACATTTGATTCAAATAGGGTATGGATTCTCATTTTCCCACGTGTACAGGTTGCAGGATCACATTGGTTATATGGCTATGTATATACATACAGCAATCTTAGTGTCAGTTGTATTCTGCTTCCCTCCCTATCCCCCCTCCCGTCTCCTCCCCTCCCCTCTCATCACCTCTCTCTACCCAATCTACTGTGACATTTCTCTCTCTCTCTCTCTTTTTCCCTCCCCCCTCACACCAGGTGCTTCTTCTTTGTATTACTTACAGCAGTGTCTGAGATCCTGTAACAAAAGGATCCCCCCATCACCTCCAAGGTCCCTGCAAACACAGTGGTTTATATACTGCTAAAAGTCCATTTTTCTTTTATATCACTTTGTAGGTAAGAAGATGTTGTGGTTTAGTTATGAGATGTCCCCCAAAGCCTCGTGTGTGATAAAATGAGAGAGGGTTTAGAGGTGAAAAGATTGGGTCATGAGAACCTTAACCCAATCAATGCATTACTCCTCTGATAGGGGTTAACTGGCTGGTGACTGCAGGCAGATGGGGATAGGCCTCTGGGGGTTATATTTTGTCCTTGCTTTGTCTCTGCTTCCTGGGGTCATGCCCTGAGCCACTTTCTTCCATCACACACCCTTCTGCCAAGATGTTCTGCCTCACCCCAGGACCCTAAGGAATGGAGCTGACTATCTGTGGACTGAGACCTCTGAAACCATGAGCACCAAACAGACTTTTCCTCCTCTGAAATTGTTCTTGTCAGATCTTTTGGTCACAGCGGTGAAAAATATGACTGAAACAGAAGGTCAGGGTGGTGGCCCCTGGTCCCTGAGGAGCTCACAGTCTAGTGGGAGAGGTCGCTCTATTGACCTCACTTTTCATCATCTCCCAGTGAACAGGAAGAGGGAAAAGGCCCAGGAGGCCCACACCTCATACTTTTAAGGGCAAGACTTCAGAGTAGCACACATTCTTTCACTCAGACCTAGTCAATCAGATTGTTTTTTTTTAATTAATTGTTTAAAAAATAAACGACAGTGGAATGCATTGCAATTCTTATTATACACACACAGCACCATTTTTCATATCTCTGGTTGTATATAAAGTATGTTGACATCAATTTGTGTCCTCATACATGTACTTTGGATAATGATGTCTATCACACTCTAACATCTTTGCTAACCCCCTGCCTTCTTCCTTCCCCTCTTGCCCTTCTGCCCTATCTAGAGTTTGTCTCTTCCTCCTATGCTCCCAGAGAGCCTATATCCTGAGAGAAAATTTTTACCTCTCACACATCACTTAGAGCACTAATCTCTAGGGTATAGAAAGAACTCAAAAAGCTAAGCACCCAAAAACCAAATAACCCAATCAACAAATGGGCCAAGGAACGGAACAGACACTTCTCAGAAGATGATATACAATCAATCAACAAATATATGAAAAAAAATGTTCATCATCTGTAGCAATTAGAGAAATGCAAATGCAAATCAAAACTACTCTAAGATATCATCTCACTACAGTCAGAATGGCAACTATTACGAAGACAAACAACAACAAGTGTTGGCGAGGATGTGGGGAAAAAGGTACACTCATACACTGCTGGTGGGTCTGCAAATTGGTGCAGTCAATATGGAAAGCCGTATGGAGATTCCTTGGAAATCTGGGAATGGAACCACTATTTGACTGAGCTATCCCTCTCCTTGGTCTATACCCAAAGGACTTAAAAACAGATTGGGTTTAAGGGAGACAAGTATTTGTCACCTAGGCAGCCATGTGCCCAGGCATAATTCTAGAACAATGAAAAAAGAGAAGAGCTGGGGGACACATGGCAGAGGACCACACCCTGATCAAGTTCTTTTTTTGCCTGCACCTCTTCCATCCAGATGGTGAGGCTCTCAGGCCACATGTCCCGGAGAAGGAGAGAGCAGGAATGAGAAGTAACTGTGCACCTTTGAGACTGTAAAGGGATTCCTATCCCATTCCTGTCTTCCCCTTCCTTTTGCTCCCCATTTTCTAATCTACTGAACTTCTCTTATTCCCCTCTCTGCCTTTTGTGGTTTAGCTTCCACACATTAGTGAGAACATTCGACCTTTGCTTTGTTGGAATTGGCTTAGCATGATAGTCTCCAGTTCAGTGGCAAATGTCATAAAACCATTCTTCCTTATGGCTGAGTAATATTCCGTTGTGCATATACATCACATTTCCTTTATCCATTCATCTGTTGAAAGGCACCTAGGTTGATTCCATAGTTTAGCTATTGTGAATTGAGCTGCTATAAACATTGATGTGGCTGCATCACTGTAGTATGTGATTTAAATTTTCTTATGTACCCATATGAAAATAGTTAAGTGAATCTCACCATCATGTCCAACCACAAGAATGAGGTTAATTAGAATAAGATATATTCCATGCTTGTATAATTTTATTACTGTTATATATTTAACTAAGTAGAACTGATCAAAATAACTTAAAATAAAAAAATGATTTTCATAAAAAAATAGAGATAATAGCCCAGAACCCAGTTTTCGTGAAAGGCAAAAGGGAATTATCAATTCTTCAACTCCCATTATATTAAGAGTAAAGCTTAATGGATTAGGACTTAAGGCATAAGTGGAGTAAGAATAGGGTACTATTTTTGTGCATGTAAAGTTCCTCCCACCTGAGGAAGAGAGGTGAAAGGGTGGAGGGCAGGGAGGAAATATAAAGAGAGATGCTGGGTATGTTGAAGTGGGAGAGAAAGCAGAGGGAATAATGAATTTCCCAATTCTACCTGGAGTTTTAGGAGAATTCTTCCTTATAATGCAGGGTGGCTTTGGAGAGAATGGTGGCCTTGTGAGATACACCTGCAGGAAAATGGCCTGGGAGATGACCCCAGTCCTCCTCCAGATCCTGCATGGGTACAAAGGATCCATAAATTCCACTTGTCCATTGAAAAAAGTCACTTGTTAAATTATTACTGTCTCTAAGGTCTTGCCCTAAGCACTTGGGAGACAGAGTTGAACAAAATAGAGACCGTTGGAATATGGAATAAGGCGGGATGAAGGAGTGGGGAAGATAACACAAATAGGCATGGCAAATCAGTGATTTATAGAGCACGGGAGGCTACAAGCGCCATGGGAAAGGGTAAGGGGTCAGGGAGCAGGTTGCTGTAGTATGTGGGTGGGAGAGGCCAAGGCAGGAAAGAGACAGGCATTTGACAAAGGGGTATGATGGTGATGGTGGCACAGAGACCATCCTACTGGTATATTTTCTCCCTCATTTGCCAAAGTCTACTCTAAGGACAAATGCAGATATATTTTTCTTCCTTGGATTTCTGACCCTTCCAGCCAATACTTTCTCCCTTTCTGGCTTCACTTTCTATTTTTTCCCTCCATTGTTTCTCCTTCCAGCCCCAAGTTGTACACAGCAAAGTGGGGGGGGGGTGTGGCTGTGTGATGAGTGGAGTGAAGAGGTGCCAAGGAAGAGGGGAGGAGCTCAGAGAGGGACTGGGTGTCATCTTAAGGGAACCTCATAGGATACATTAGACTTTTGGCTTTACTCTGAGTCAAATGGGAGGTATTGCAGAAATGTGAGTAAAGGAGTAATATGACTTCAATTTCATTCTCAAAGAGTCACTGTGAGCTGTGTTGAGAACAGACAGTAGGAGGCGGTGAGAGCAGGGTGATGTGCTGAGTGGCCACTGCAGAGATCCATGCACTAGACCATGTGGCTTGGATTGGTCTGCAGTGCAGGAGATGAGAGGTGGTTGGGTTCAGTGTCTTTAGGAGGTGCTAAGAAAATAACAGAGAGTTGGGAACCGGTGGTGAGGGAGCAGGGTGAGCATGTCCAGGGGCTTTGTGGTGGACAGTCCATTGGTCAAGGAAGCATGTGAAGGACCTATAGCACAGAAAGAGCCAGCGTGCGGCTGATTCAGCCAGTAGGGGGTCCTTGGGCCCTTTTCTGGCCAAGGGAATGGGTCACAAATGTCACTAGTTATGGTCATTTCAGAAAAGTTTGCAATATAGGCCAACTCCCAGAGACTAGGAGACATCACAATGACCAGCAGATAAGGGTAATGAGGGGCACCCTTCCTCTTGATAGCTCAAGGATGCAAATGTGTCACCTCCTGCCCACTAGCCATGTTTCTTTCTCTTTTGGGAAAGAAAAACAACCCTGAAAGTGAGTTTGCACCTTGAGAGAATATTTACTCCAGATGAAATTACTTTAAATGGGAAGAGACTGAGGAAGCTCAAGTAACAGGTTTATTATCATTTTTCTACTGTGCCAAGGAATGGAGGGGACTTTTGAATCAGCTTCATTCAGATCTAGAAAAATAAAAGAAGCCACCACTTTGCACATTGGAATGGTATTGTGGATGCATTTCAGATCTTTGGTGTAGATGTTGTATTGGAAAAAGTAACAAGATTTTTTTTTTTAATAATGGTGAAGAATTCTGGCTCCCCCGTTGGCCCTGGTTGGCTTTTCTGCCTAAGGAAGTGATCTGAGGGTGGGCATTCCTGGAGGATGATGAGTAGGTGGTGGGGGAACCCATCCTATCAGACCATGTGAGTCCTGACTTCCCCGGGGACTGATAGGGCTAAAATTCTAGTATCAGAGGATGCTTGAGGGATGGTGGGAAGCACAGAGTTCTTAGTTAGAAGACAACAGCAACATCACCATTTTGGTTTTGCACATATGGAGAAAATCACCGTGGGTAACATGGACATTATAACAAGCACCGAAACACCAGTTGTCCCATTTTCTGATAGACCTGTGCCTACTCCCCACCCCCATCCCTCCCAGGCAGCCACAGCACTTGGATGTGGCGTTGCTCCTCCTGAGGAGCCATCTTACCCTGTTTGGTTCCTGAATGGAAACCAGTGAGGTGCTTGAATATTCTGTGCTCAGCCTGTGACTCTCTCTGAGGGTCCGCAGTCCTTCCTCAGGCTGCTCTGGGGGGTCCAACAAGGAATAAAGACACTTTCTTGGCACAAGGCCCACTTGTGACTTCACACTCTGGGCATGCTGTGATGTCAGGCTGTACCCTGAAGCCTTGCAAAGGGATGAAACCAACCCTAGGAAGCCTGGGAGTCTTGGGGAGAGGAGGACAATTCTAGGAGCTTTGGAGGAGAGCTCAGGATTGAAGTCAGGTTCTGCATTTCTGACCCCAGGTGGAATGCAACCCAGCGCCTTCTCTTAGCTTGCTGGAAGAGGTCGGGGAAGATGGATGGTGGTGCTGGCCCACATCTGCCGTGGTGTGGTGGCCCCTCCACCACCGTTCAGTGTAATCTGAGAAGCATGGTGCTGGCAGCCTGCTCTTGCACGCCTGTGAGGAGGGCGGGCTGGGGGCTGTGGCTCTGCCAGAGCAGTGGGGTTGGACCTGTTCCTCGGCGTGTGCCTGGATATGATTTGTTCCCCTCAGTACCAGACCGTGTGCTTCGTGTGAACTGACAGAAAATAAGAAACTACCAGCAGAAAGTGTCTGGTCTGGCTCGTTTCCAGACATCGTCCTTGCGAGCCCAGTCGGGGCTCTGTCATCCTGCTGGTTTGTGATTAGAAGAAGACAAGCTAGGGCACACCCTGATTGTTCCAGAAAGAATGGGAGGCCATTCGGAAAGACATCACAACCCAACAAAATGACACGTGACTCTCCCTAAATATTTGGTGAAGGTGATTACGGAGAGAAATATAGAATAAACTTGCATACTGGTGCGGTAGCTGTGCAGTCTGTGGCTTCTGTAATAGGTGCTATTAAAATGGCACAATAGCAACAGCTACCTGAAAGTGTTGTTGTGAAGAAGTGGGTTTAAATGTGAAGTGCTGAACAGGATGCATCAACATGACAAGTGATATTGCTATTGACATGTTAGCTATTATTAGTGCAGCAACGAGGATTCTGACTTCTATTGCGGCACTTCTAAGTGGTAGTCTTTCGTGCAGTCTGCTGAAGGTAGACTCGAACCTGACTCCCACTTTACTGCCTCTGTTGCTGTAGATAGATTGAGTGACCTCTCTAAGCCTTGAATTTCATATTTATTGCATGGAGATGATAGCACTCACCCCACAGCCTTGTCATAAAAGAAACAGGAATGTCATGATGTCTTAGGTTGAGCTCCTGTAACAAAATACCAGAAACAGGGTGGCTTAAACAATAGAAACTTATTTCTTTTAATTGAGGCTGGAAAATTCAAGATTAAGGTGCCAGCAAGGTGAGTTTCATTTTAAGACCCCCTTTCTCTTGGCTTATAGGTTCCTGCCATCTCTGTGTGCTCACATGATGTCTTTGTGCACAGTGGAGACATGCTCATACAAAGTCAGAGAAAGAGCACAAGCAAGAGCCTTCTATAAGGACATCAATCCCATCCTAAAAGCCTCATTCTCATAATATGGTTCCATGGGGGTTAGGGGTCCAACCTATGAATTTGATGAGGGGATCACACAAACATTCAATCTGTAACAGAGGCAACAAACAGGTCAAATATTAGTCTTTGTAAGTCATAAATGGGAAACCGACAGCATGGTCATCCTGTGACCCTGCTGGACATACAGTAAGCATTAAGTAGATATTTGAGGGTGACAGCTGAGAGTGTCGGTGTTAGGGGTTGGTTATGAGGTGTCCCCCAAAAGCTCCCATGTGAGACAACGCAAGAAGGTTCAGAAGAGAAATGATTGGGTTGTGAGAGTCTTTACTCAATCAGTGAATTAATGCCCTGAAAGGGATTAATTGAGTGGTCACTCACTGAAGGCAGGTGGGGTGTGGCTGGAGGAGGTGGGGCATGGGGGCGTGGCTTTGGGGTATATATTTGTATCTGGTGAGTGGAGTCTGTCTTTCTGCTTCCTGATCATCATGTGAGCTGCTTCCCTCTGCCACACTCTTCTGCTATGCTGTCCTGCCTCACCTCGATGAACAGAATTGGCCTTCTATGGACGAAGACCTGAAACTGTGAGCCCCTAAATAACCCTTTCCTCCTTTATGGTTGTTCTGTTGGGTCCTTCAGTTTGAGCAGTGGAAAAGCTGACAGTCCACTCACTAGCAGCCTAGTTAGGGCATCCTTGTAGAGGAGAAAGAAGGAAAGAACATATCTCTGGGGGCATTCTCAACTCAAAGCAACTTCTTAGTGCAAGAAGGAGCTCCCAGGCATTCTAGCATGGTTGCTATTGCTCCACTCCTCTCAGGTGATTGAGGGATGTGGTGAAAACCACACACCTGACCGTGGCCCATGGAATTGGAGAAATCTATAGGGTCTGAGATTTCCCAAGCCGGCCTGACCTCTCTTCTCAGCTCTCTTGCATGTTTAAGCAATCTCTGTTATTTTCTCAGGGCTATTCTCTGAACCATTTGAAAGAAAAGAAACATTTTTCCCCCCAGCATGTCAAAATGCAGAATTTGGCTACAGAAGAACGTAAGGCAAAGTGATGAACTCTTAAGACACTTCCTTGCAGAAGGTTTCCTCTCAGAGCCAGTTTCTGCCTCATGCTTGAGTCTTTCTCTGATTACAAAACAAAACTAAGCCTAAAGAAAGGGAGACAATCCTTTTAAGTGGTTTGGGTGCCAAAGTAACAAACCAAGTGATGAGCTAGAGATCCAAAAGGGCCAAGTGGGTTTCTTAAAAATACTTTTTCTCTTTGGCATAAGACTTTAAACTTTTTGGAGTATTTTCAGATCTATTATCTCATTTATCTTAATGACAACCTCATGTGGAAGGGTAGAGACATTTAGGGCCAGAGATCCAGGGATGTTAAGTGCTTTTCAGAAGATCCTACAGTAAGTCGACAACCAAAAGAAGATCCCGAGAGAGGGCTGCTGGGGTGTGAGAGCTGGTGAACCTTGGGCAGTCTGCAGACCCTCATGCAGCCTGAGGCAAATGACAAGTGTTTCATTTTTCCTGGTTAGTCAGGGGATGGGGAGAACAGAGAAAAACTCTTGGTGGAAGAGACATTGCGTATCCCCAATGGAAGAAATGATGCCACGGAGTGTGGGTGGGCTGGACATGGCAGATGCCACAGAATTACGGGAGCATTTGTTTTGTGACATTAATAGCAGAGACAGTTACTAAGTGTTAACTCTGTGTCGGGCCTATGGTAGGAAGTCAGGATGAATGGGATATGATGTCTGTAGTCCATCTAGGGAGGTAGGACACAGGTATTTGAAACAACACAGACAGATGGTACTTAGTGGATACAGAATGTATGGGAGAGAGTCAAGAGCTCACAGAATCTGAAGGTGGAAGAGAGAGCGTTCATTTGAGATGGTCAGGGGAGGCTGTTAGAGAAAGGATCTGGGCAGGTGGGAAAGGTAGAACCTTCATGGTTGAGACAAATAAAGTAGAGAAATACACAAAGACTAAGGAATAAAAGGCTCTTTATTAGGTGGGAGCATGAATGGACTACTTTGAGAGGAATAGAGAGCCAATTTATGAAAGGGCTTGGGAATCACACTGGAAAGGACCATAGAACCGGGCTGGTATATCTGGTAGGAACGACTTGGGGCTTCATAGTTGGGTCATGGGGAACCAGGGAAACATTTTGAATCATGTGTAAAAGCAGAGTAGAGGGATCAGCAGGTCCTTTGAGAAGGCTGTCATTACATTCCTGCTTCCCAGAGGGCATCACTGTGGACTTTCCATAAACAGAGTTGCTTCTTTGTTTCTTAATACATTTCCTAGGAGATAGTAGATACCTGAGACCCTAGCAGTTAGGTAGCTAGCAGGAGATCGTTTAGCACTGTGCTGGTTCCTGGGGGTGCAAAGGTGAATAAAAACAGCTCCTGTTTTCAAGGTGTTTGGGATTCAGTGCCAGGTACTTGGACCAGAGCAAACTCTTGGGAAAGATTTACTGCCCACTGTGGCCAATCTGACTTCCTTTCTTTTCCTATCAATCTCCCTTTAATCCTCTCTTTTAGTTCTATAAATAGCTTCTATTATTTTCCAGTGAAATCTGTTGGAGGCTTTGAGCCACTGTCTCTTCGAGGTGCCTTAGAATACTTTTGGTCTCAGCTCCAGGATCATGTGTTGATTTAATTTGATAACAATTAAGGGACGACCTTATTATACCTCTCAATTATTAAAGAATGTTTCATTGTGGTGCCCAAGGACTGCATATTTTCATGTTCAACCATAAGCTTGAAAGTCCAGAATTTCTGGACTTCCTAATTTTGTAAATGGGATCACAAGTACTCATATCCTGACTTCCCACATCCCACATTGGTAACTAATAGGGCAGATTCTTTTTGTATTGATCATAGACATGATCCAAACCGGGAGGTTTGAAATTTATTCAAAGTGCTAAATGATCTCCTGCTAGCTACTTAACTGGTAGGGTCTCAGATATCTATTATCTTCTAGGAAATGTATTAAGAAATCTATTAGATGTTTGAAATTCTAACATAGAAATGATCTGTATTCCTTCTATAACCTTGGAAAGTAGATATTAATATTCTTGTTGTACAGCTAAGGAAATAGGGGTCAGATTAAATGGTTTGCCCTACCACGTGGCTCCTAAGTAGAGACACCCAAGTCTGAACGTGCATCTATTCAGTTCTAAGACTGAAGCTTGAGCTTCTGCATTACACCTCCACTTACTCTCTAAGTCCTACTCCTTCATAGCCATGTTACTACCTGTGGCACATGTAATACCTTCCCCTTTAGGTGTCATCTTTGGAGAGGGGCATAGGAAGACAACCTGGCTGGGTGATAAGGGTCAAGCTGGGGAGTCGGACACCCTGAACCTACCACTTACTTGCTATCTTGGCAATGTTACCAAGATAGCAAGTAAGTGGTAAGTTTAAGCATTTGTTTTGGTAACTGTAAAAGAGAATGTTGTGAGGTTTTAGAAAGACATGAGCTTGGAATACGGGTAAGAGCTCATTCAGAGAACTCTTCAAGGTCTGGATTCACAGCGTGGAGAAACCCTAATTCTGTGGCACAGCTCCTGGAAGTGCAATTTCTTTTCAGTCTTTTCCTTGTTAAGTCCTTCATCCACCCCCCAACGAGGTTCCGATTCCTCTTTATCTCAGAAACTCTTTCTGCTTTAGCCTTCTGTCTCGGGCTATTTGCAACATTCTGGTCCATTCATTTGGGTGGCTTCTAATCCTATCTATTTGGGCTTGGAACTCACTCAGACATGGCACATATATTTGGCGACTGTCTTAAGGTACTTTTAAGAAAAGGCAAAAATAGGACTATGTCCTACAGATCATTGGCACTGGCTCCTTGGTATACAGACTCTTCTTGGGAT